GGTTCATCGCCTCAACATTGACCCATCGTTCTGACCTGTTAAGCAAAAAAGAAGAAAATGGCTAAATGATAAGTGGCTAAATTTGACCACCCATTTAAGAAAATGTCCATTTGTTTATAATTTTGCAAAAATGGCTAAATGATATATTTGGAATTTTACATTTTTTAGTTTTTTTCCCATAATGCCCTCCCTATAATTTTTAGAATTTACAAGTATTTTAACAACTCAACAAACTTGGTTCAATTCAAAATTTTTCCCCTACATTCAAGGGATTTTATTCTAATTATTTTAATAATTTTATTAGGAAATTCAGTTAATTTAAACAATTACCAGTGTTCCACGGTCCCCATCTCACCATTTGATTATCTTCATCAGATTTTGTATCATCCTTATATTAGAAGAATTATCAAAATCATAAGGTCAGTAAATTTATATACCAGTTGATGAAAACCAAAATTAGAATACAAATCACATATATATCACCATGCAGCTCATTCATCAAAATTAAAATGTCTATATATGTATATACTAATAATTCAACAATTAACAAAAACATGAAAGTTAATAGATGTATATATCAATTCAAAAAATAACAAAAAGTAATAACTGAATACATCTATTTACTGTTGTACAACTAAAATATCATAAATATAAAACTAGTACATATATATCCCAATAATTAAAATGTCTATATATGTATGTACTAATAATTCAACAATCAATAAAACATGAAAATCAACAGATGTATATATCAATTCATGAACAAAATACGAAAGTAAATAGATCTATTGACTACTACTAGTACATGTATATCCCAATAATTACCTAGTTCTTCCTCAACTATCTTGAGACACTTTCTTTTCCCTTCAACATAAAACTAGAATTAGCTTAGTAAATATAATTTTTAAATATTACTATTCAACACAACATACATTAAGTTCTTACCTTCTTGGTAGATTCCTTACAACCCAAATTCCTTTTAGGGTCAAGTTTAGTCTGTTTTGTTTTATCTCCGATTAAGTACCCCCACCCTTCTTTTTGTTGGTCTCCTTCAACGTTGAAGTCTCTCCCTGTGTCTTTGTTGATTCAATCTGTACATATAAAGATAAAACATCTCTGAGATGATTTTTTAAAAAACAAACAAGTCATATATAAACTGTTGCATCTACACCTCTTCTTCACTGTTTCGAGGGGCAGACGACGTGGCGACAGGAGGGGGCGCAGCGGCGTGAAGCAGTGAAGGCCGGCATTCGGCGTTGACGAGGTGGCGGCGTTCGGCAACGTCCGACGTGGATGGAGAGTGGCTGAGGGTTGGGCGGCGATGAAGGTTGGATTGTTGGGCGGCGTAGGTTTTGCAAATGAAGATGGAGGTAGGGTTGGACGACGGTGGAAGTTCTGAGGGTTGGATTGTTGGAGGCAAGGTACTGTTCATAATCCTTTTGTTTTTTTTTATTTAAAAAAACCAATAAAGGTAATGTTAATTTTCCTTATTTATATTTACCTCTTATTTATAAATCTTCTCTTCTCTTTTAAATGAGTAAATTTCAAAATATACCTCAACATAGTCTTATCATTTTTTTAAAATCTACTCACAAATTCTAATTAGCATTTTTAAATTAGATTTAAGATAATTATTTTAATTTCATTTATTTTTTATTTGTAAATCTGCTAGTTTAGAGGGGTAAATTTCAAAATATACCTCATTACAGTTTTATCAGTTTTTTTTAAATCTACTCTCAAATTCTAATTAGCAATTTTAAATTAGATTTATGATAATTTTTTAATTTCATTTACTTTTTATTAAATACAGTTAATCCCTATTATTAAGGTCGATTGTTTTTGCTATTCATAAAAATCTTAAATCCATAAAATTAGGCATATATATCTCATTGGTTACAAGGGTATTTTTGTCTTTAACATTTTTTCAGTATTAAAAAAAAGTCATTTAGCCATTATTGCAATATCTCATAGGTTTGACCATTTTTTAAAACGTGTTATTAAATTTGGCTATTCCTGCAGTTGCCCCATATAATTATTTATCTAATTAAAAATCTACAAAAATAAGAAAATAAAGTCTTTAATGACATGATACAAGAAATAAGTAAGCTCTCTTTTGTTCAGATTCGATTTTTTCTTTTAATTTTAAAATATGGATCTGATTTGATTTTAATTTAATATGACTCGCTCTTTCTTTCTAACGGAGTAGTAAGCCATTTTAGGTAAGTAATTCCTCCCTCTCAACTCCATAAACTCAAGCAATTTCTTTCTCAGACTTGATACTGACTCAAGCATCCAAGTGTATGTCGTTATGTCAGTATTAACTCATTTCGATCCAGCCGTACTAGTGAAAATTTCTATCCTTCCCCCATTCACTACCCATGGAGTCAAATTCTAACTACACGATTCAATAATTAACCCTGTCATTTTACGTTTTAAAAATTACTTTAAAAATTATCATATTTTTTTAGTTTTTTAGAAGATCAATTATTTCTTAAATTTCCTCTCTTAGCCTTTACTAAAAAAATTTCAAACTTAACACCCAACCAAATGTTCTCAAATTAGTAATTAAAAAATGTTGATGCAAGATTCAGCCAAGGTACGGCAGACGACCTCGGAGGTCGGCTGACTACACTTGGGGCGATCCTCCGGATATGTGCAAGGAGGTAAGCCACTCCGACGCCGAAGTCAGTATTTAAGCCGAGCTCAACAGGTAAGCTTCAGATAGATTTTCGTACTTGAACCCATGGGTGAGTGGTGTATTTATAGCGGTAGATAGGGTAGATATACTGATAAAGGAACTATCTCAATTATGCATGAGAACTCTCTTATTCAAGGTAAACCCCCACAACAGTAACAAGAATGACCCCAATAACAAGATGATAAAGCAACACCAAGAAAGCTAAACAGATTTATGCTTGGTAAGATGATCAAAGATCAAGAAGAAAAGAGAACTTGTTCCTATCTTCAAGATTTCGAACTCTCATCTTCAAGATTTCGAACTCTCTACAACCTAATTGATCAAACTAGATTGAAAGTTCTAAACATGCATTCTAAACACAAGAATACAAAGAAAGCTTAAAGCTTGAGAGAGATTAAACTCAATATGAAATTTTCATTCATCAAATGTTGTTCTTAAAAAGCAAATGTACATTCCTATTCATAGTAAATGAAAAGACACAATGAAAGACACAACCCTTGTATGAAAAGACACAATACTTGAAAAATACATAATAAATTAAATATGTGGATGAATCCGGATTTTTAGATTCATGAAGTTTCTTGGATGACAAGATGTCTTTTCAAGCTTGTAGGGATGCAACTGTAAGGACAGTATTGTAATTTTCAGTTAAAAAAAATAAAAGAAAAGAAAAGGAAAGTGGGAAAGTGAAGACGTGTGTGAAGGTGTNAGGTAGGGTTGGACGACAGTGGAGGTTGTGAGGGTTGGGTTGTTGGAGGCAAGGTACTCTTCAAAACCCTTTTGTTTTCTTTTTTTTTTTATTTAAAAATCTCAATAAAGGTAAGGTTAATTTTCCTTATTTATATTTAGCTCTTATTTATAAATCTTCTATTTTAAAGGGGTAAATTTCAAAATATATCTCAACATATCTTATATTTTTTTAAAAATCTACTCTCAAATTTTAATTAGCAATTTTAAATTAGATTTATGATAATTTTTTAATTTCATTTACTTTTTATTAAATACAGTTGAATCCCTATTATTAATGTCGATTGTTTTTGTTATTCGTAAAAATCTTAAATCCTTAAAATTATGCATATATACCTAATTGGTTACAATGGTATATTTGTCTTAACATTTTTTTAGCATTAAAAAAAAAGGTCATTTAGCCATTATTGCAATATCCCGACCATCTTTTAAAACGTGTTATTAAATTTAGCTATTTATGCAATTGCCCCTTTAAAAAATTTCAAACTCTATTGATGAAATCTAAAGTAATAGAATATTAAAGTCCATAACTTAAACTGAAGTTGGCTAGCAATGAATCCACAAGAGCTGTCTAGTTAGAGACAGCTGAATGAGGGCAGCCTGCATCAGCCAATTCTGTATTAAATGAACCATCTCCAACTCCAACCTATTTTATATGCTTTTCAAATTGGATATCCAATTTTTATTAATTTAATTTTGCACCCATATTTCTTCAACCACATTATCCCAAATCTGTCCTCAAACCATAAATGAACTTCCCAATTTATCCCTTTTCCTGTTTTGGTTTAATAAATTTACACCTCCATTAACAACATCCCCCATGCCCAACAAACCCACACCAAAAAACATTAAACCAAACTGCCACTAAGCTTAAACTTTCATTCTATGGCTGTTGGAATTAAAGAAATCAATGCCTTACAGCTAAAAGAATTCTCCCTCCCCCTAGAGAGAGCTTTTGTCTTAATTTTAGACCTATTAATTGGGATTATCCCTCCCCGAGAGGATATGTTTACGGACAATTTTTAATTGAGATTCAATTTTCTATCAAACACATACTTGAAAACAATAAATATAATTATAGGTTTCACTGGACCCACTATTTTCAGATCACCCACCAAAAGTACCTTAAATTTCTAATTTCTTAATAATATATGATTAGTGGGTTTATTTCTTAAAACGGTAACATCCAGAGGATTTGGTAACTTAAAATGTGAAAATCTTGAAAACAACGTTTAGGTATTTTGTGTGTTTTTTCTAAATTCTAAATCTGCTACCAAATAGGAATTGAAGATAGTAAAAGCGTGTAATACAATAGTCTTTCAACCAAACGCACCGAAAGAATACAAGTGATTAGTGAAAGGTTTCTCTCTCCCCCTCCCCTAGAGACTAGAGAGAGAGAGAGAGAGAGAGAGGGAGTTTAGTCTTAAATTGTGGCCTATTAATTGAGACTTTTTTTCATCCTTTCATTTTTGCTGAAGAAATTGGATTGATGGGCCTACACTGTTTGGTTGGAAGTCCATTTATTATGCAGTCAAATCACTTGCTAACCGTCAAGAAAGCTTGCAGAAAACTACAACTTTAAAACTCTAAACTTTTCTCAGCCACAGTGTGCAGGCTTATCAGATGGTAGATTTTTGACAAATCCCACACCAGGTTAGAAAAAAGCAACTCTGTTCTGAATTCTTATGAGCACAAGTGAAAATAGTGAGTGGGAAGTCATTACATAAACATAGTTTTAGTTTTGCTGTTGAGTTTTTTTCAGGAATTTAGAAGCATGGGAAGTAGAGAAATCAAATCCCCTCAAGGGGTGGCTGAAACTCCCAGTGGATTGGATGAACGTTCAGAATCATTTCAGAGGAAGAAGCTCGGGATGTTCTTCGTCGAATCCGATGATCGGAGGACGGCGTTCGGGCGCGGTTACACCGGAGGAACAACTCCAGTTAACATCCGTGGCAAACCCATAGCTGATCTTTCAAAGACTGGTGGCTGGATTGCAGCCTTCTTCATTTTTGGTAAGCTGCTGCAGAGAAACCTTCTTGTAGTTTGTTGTTACTATTTGGACTTCAAAAATCACTCTTGTTGTGTTCAACAGGGAATGAAATGGCAGAGAGAATGGCTTATTTTGGGCTTTCAGTGAACATGGTAGCCTTTATGTTCTATGTGATGCATAGGCCATTTACCAGTTCCTCAAACGCAGTTAACAACTTCCTTGGCATCTCACAAGCCTCCTCTGTTCTTGGCGGTTTCCTCGCCGATGCATATCTCGGTCGGTATTGGACGATCGCGATCTTCACGACCATCTATCTCGGGGTACGATATGAAATCTTATAAAGTCCTATCAATACAGAAAAAGAACCATATTGAATTGAAATGCTTGGTTTGTGGTTAATGCAGGGCTTGATAGGAATAACTCTATGTGCTACAATCAGTGCATTTGTGCCAAACCAAGAGAAATGTGACCAATTGTTACTGCTTCTAGGGAAATGTGAGCCAGCAAAGGGATGGCAAATGGCTTATCTCTACACAGTCCTTTATTTGACAGGCTTTGGGGCTGCTGGTATAAGGCCTTGTGTGTCTTCTTTTGGGGCTGATCAGTTTGATGAAAGAAGTAAAGATTACAAGGCTCATCTTGATCGCTTTTTCAACTTCTTTTACCTTTCTGTCACCATTGGAGCCATTGTGGCCTTCACTGCTGTTGTTTACATACAAATTCAGCATGGATGGGGGGCTGCTTTTGGCTCCCTAGCTGTAGCCATGGGCTTTTCCAATGTCGTCTTCTTTGTCGGTACTCCTTTGTACCGGCACCGGTTGCCCGGAGGTAGCCCTCTCACGAGACTCGCCCAGGTCCTCGTGGCGGCTTTCAGGAAGAGAAACACCTCGTTTTCTAGCAGCGAGTTGGTCGGCTTGTACGAGGTTCCTGGCAAGCAATCTGCTATCAAGGGTAGTGCAAAGATCCTTCACTCTGATCATTTCAGGTATTTAGTGCTCGTTGTTTACCTGAACTTGTCAAACTTAAAGTTTTGAATTTAGTGGTGATTTAACGCTAATATGTACGGATATACAGATGTCTGGACAAGGCGGCGTTGCAATTAAAGGAAGATGGAAGTGATCCAAATCCTTGGAGGCTTTGCACAGTGACTCAAGTTGAGGAAGTGAAAATCCTTTTGAAGCTAATTCCAATACCAGCTTGCACGATCATGCTGAATTTGGTTCTAACAGAGTATCTCACTCTTTCAGTACAACAAGCATATACCTTAAACACTCACATAGGCCGTCTTAAACTCCCTGTCACATGCATGCCAGTCTTCCCTGGCCTCAGCATATTCCTCATACTCTCCCTCTACTACTCCATATTCGTTCCGATCGCTCGACGCATCACCGGCCACCCGCATGGCGCCTCTCAGCTACAGAGAGTCGGCATTGGCCTAGCGATCTCGATAGTCTCAGTCGCTTGGGGTGGGGTATTTGAGAGATACCGAAGAAACTACGCCATCAAAAATGGTTATGAGGCCAGTTTTTTGACCCCTATGCCCAACTTGAGTGCCTACTGGCTGCTAATTCAGTATTGTCTCATTGGCATAGCAGAAGTGTTTTGCATCGTTGGGTTGCTCGAGTTCTTATACGAGGAAGCCCCCGACGCCATGAAGAGCATCGGATCATCATACGCCGCTCTCGCAGGCGGATTGGGGTGCTTCGGGGCATCGTTGTTGAACAGCATTATCAAATCCGTCACCGGGAATCCAAACCGGAGAATCCCATCTTGGCTTTCTCAAAATATCAACACGGGACGATTTGACTACTTCTACTGGCTTCTCACAGTCATGAGCTTCATCAATTTCTGCATCTTCTTGTACTCAGCTCGAAGATACAAGTACAGGAAACAGCATGAGATTGGAGAAGGAATAATGGAAAATGGAAGAGATAACAAGATGTGAGATTCATCCACTTCCTTTCAATATTTTGGAAGAGTTTGAGTAGGAGAAATTATTCAACGTGACTGTTACACTTGAATGATTGAACGTTGGGTCAAAAAGGATTTCTTAACCTATCTGGTAGTACATTTACTGCAGTAAATTTGTTGGATTAGAGTTGAGCATTGGAATTTAATGCTGTAATTCCATTGACCAACCAAAAGGTAGTTGGCAATTATGAAGGAATTAAATGGTGGGCAGTGAGCAACACAGTGCCCATTTTTCTCTTTCCTTTTCTTCAACACAGCTCATACCCTTTCAGATTTTGTTTAGGAATCAAACCCATCCAAATCACTTCCTATTGTGGAATCAAGCATTACAATTTTTATTTTATGATGCCCACCAAACTTTCTTTTCTAAAAATGCTTTCAATCCGATTAAATTTTCTGAGTTGAGTTCCTAAATTTTAGAAAATGTCTTATAAATTCCTCTAAATTTTTAATTCTTTAAATCTTAAAAAGTATATGTTAACTTTTTAAACTTTTAAATTTGTATTAAAGTTAAAATCCAAATTTATTAATAAATTTATTTTATATCTAATAGCTTTTTAATTTTTCAATTATATGTTTAATTGGTCTTTGAGTTTTATAAAAGGTCTAATAAATCAAAGAATCTATTAGATACAAAGTTGACGGTTTAAAAAGTACTTAGATATAATATTTTAAATTTTAATTACCTATTTAATTTAAATACTTTTAAAAATTCAAAAACTTATTAAACACAAGCTCTAAATCTTTGTAAATTACAGTTTAGGTAGCTCACTAATTTAGCACTAAATGCCTATTTAGATATTGTTTAATTTGTTGGAGCAGGTCAGTGCAATGCTTTCTCGGGAAAACAATTTTAAAAAAAAAAACTGTATAGAACAATTAAAAAACCTATTTTACGTAAAAGATAAAACACACCTAAAACGTCTTTATTTTCAACTGTATAGGGAAAAAGAAATAAAATGTGTAGAATCAAACTTAGACATTAAAAAAATAATAATAATAATAACGTTGCCATTCAAAATTGAGCTAAAATAATTTGCTTCCTGCAGCATGAGATGGTGTTCAACGAGGAAGCACTCTCCCATCAAGAATTTGAAAAAAAAAAAAATATATATTTTAATACAACACGTGGAGTGGAAATTTGAATTCACGACTTTTGATTGGAAAAAAGATTGAGCTATGCTCAAGTTGGCAAAATTCGAAAATAAATAACCAAAGAGAAAGTCTCTCGATTCCCTTGGATGACCCAGTAACAATCACAATATAACAATAATATATTTATATATGGAAATTTAGGTGGGTGGCTAAATTTTGATACCCATTTTAAAAAATGGTACATTTCTTTTTAATTTTGTAAAAATGATTAAAGGATATTTTTAGAGATTTTACAAAATATAGTTTTTTTCTCATAATGCCATTTCCATGTTTTTTGGAATTTCTCTATATTTAACTAGCCTAACAAAATTTGTTTTGAATTCAAACGGTGTTTCTTACAAATTATTTTGTTTTAAATTTCAAATAATTTAAAGATATTGTCATTGTTCTACGATCTCTCATCTCATCCTTCTGTCGTTACTATATCTTCTTCCTCTAAGCTCCCTTTTCTCTTTTTGCAACAACGAATTGTGTAGTAATCACAATTATATATGGTGGTATGTGGAATGAAAAAAATGTGTACAACAATTTCAACATCTCTCAAATTTTAATCCGAAAGGACTCTACGTTGTCCCACCTTATCGAAGGCATTAGGAAGAATATTTATTTAACGGACGGGGAAAAAGTTGCATCCATATAGTCGGTCAAGAATGATAGTCACAAGTCTCTTATTATTAGACTAGCTGAAGGGATGTCACATGGTTTTTAACTGTGTTGTCGAATGAATTGAGACAAAGTACTGCACTGTCGTTGATACTGTAGATATCCGTATTGACTCCATAGACGGAAGTGGAACACCATTCCGGATAAATGTAAACATCAACTTTTACCCTAGCTGCAGTCTACACTAGAAAGCATTACTGTAGATACTCTCATTGACCCCATGAATGGAAGTGGGAAATCAGTACGCACATCCCACCATAAACGCAAGGAACTCGTAGTAATGGACGAGTCAAATTCATGATTTCCCATCCAAATTCATGATCAATAATGAAAACAGGCAACCTCAATAACGGTTAGTGAGTGTGCAAAGACAATCATGGACATGAAAAGTAGTTGTAGTCCTCGGGACATTATTAATTACCCTCGAATGAACCATGAGATTAATATTAGTTATTACAAAGCTCGTAGAGGAAAAGAGGTGTCATAATCAATTATGGGGTCATCCAAAGAGTCGTATGCGCTCATCTGTCGTTTGCATCAAAGTTGATTAAGAAAAATTCAGGTAATGTATATATATTATTGATATAGTAATTTTGCTGTATATATGTATATGTACCAAACGTTATCATTAACGTTTTTTTTTATTGATTCTTCAATTTGGTTACATATGTGTATATTTACCAATACATCATGCACAAACGTATACAACCCATGAGATCGACGTTATAGGTAGATTCAAATATTTTTTTTATGAGTTTGTCTGCTTCTATAGAAGGATGGAAACACTGCTTACCTGTTATATCCATTAACGACACGTATATAAAAAACAAGTTCCAGTGAATACTACTGACGACTTGCACTTTGGCGAAGCAGAGGCATGCGGCTGTAGGAGAACAAAACCAGCGATGTGCGGCAACCTGTGGCAATTGACGTTGTTAGGAGGGTGGCGGCGGAGGATAGTGTTGTACTAGGTTGAAGATGAAGTGCTGGGGAGGAGGTCACTATAGATGGGGTGGCATGGGGCACGTGAAGTACAAAGATGGGCGACAAGGTGGGATCCTAAACCCTAACCTTTTTAATACAAGTCAAAGGTAAAACTTCTATTTTATCTGATAATAAAAAATTTTGTATTTTAGATGGAGAAATTTCAAAACATCTCAATACACTTTTATATGATATATTTATCTAAAAGAAAATTTTCATAGATTTGGTAATTTTTTAAAACGCGTTAATAATTTTGGTTATTAATTTTGATCATTCCTATAGTTGCCCTTTTATATATTACAAACCCTTTAATATACTAAAATTTTCTTAATTATTTTAATATAAAATAAAATTTATAAGTTCATTGAATTTGTTTACCATTTAGGTAATAAATCTAAAAAAAGGTTATGATAAATCAGAAAAAATTGAAACTAAGAATAGGAATCTATGACAAACAGGATCAAGAATAATTAATTATTTTATTATTTTGACACAGGAACCAGAAACAGGATTTTTCTAGTGTGAATACTAGGAAGATGAATAATCCCTTCTAAATTGATACATTCAATACGACACTAATGACATAATTCATAAAATAAGTGCCATTGAGATATATTCAAGTTGGCAAATTCAAAAATAAATAAAAACAAAGAGACAAGACTTTCGTATTTATCCCTTAAAATGTCCATAATATGAATGACAGATCCAAGGAAGACATGACAAACACAGCAAAAGAGCTAACAAACACGATAGACCTTATAAATCATTCCTGAAGTCATCTCTTACATTATTCATCATTCAAATACAAGTTATTGAAGGCAGGATATAATGCCATCACAATCTAGGTAAAGAAAACTACATGAACAAAACTAGACGAACAATGCAAAGCAATTTACTTTACTTCAATATTTGATTAACAAGAGCCAATCTGAACTTAACTTAACTCAATGACAATTGACACCTGTCTTTAATCAAGAGATTATGACTCCAAATCTCTCATCCCATTTGTTGTACTAAAAAAAATATATATTTGATTAACAAACAATGGATGAGCACAGTTCTCTTGCATTCTACTGGAAGAAGAGTTTCATAAGAATAGAAATGTATGGTGTTATTTCAAGATAAATGAGGAAAAAAAACCAGAACAAGGGGGGCTTCCTTCCTTTCTTTAATAGCCAGCAGCTACAATCATACAAATTACACAACTATTTATTCTTTGCAAGGTATCATCTTCTTATCTGAGAGGAAAATTGCAAGATTTTGGGCACAATGGCTCGAAAAATGTAGGCTCATCATCATCATCCTAGAACTAACCATGAGGGAAATCACCTTTCAGAAGAAAAACAAAATGTGAAAATTGGACCATGTGAACAGATTCTAAATGAAAATAAACAAGCCAGTCAGATGACATTGGTGTGTGTTATACAAGAAACAAAATCCAGTGTGTCCCATGATGATCACCGGAAGTCCAGGTGACAAATTGAGAAGCTAGTGGCGCTCCACATCACAATTTCCCCACATAATAAGAAGCAATGGCCAGATTCTAGAACGTTTCATCATCATATAACATGCTCAATCAAAATTGAAACATGTTGCTGCTCATTGATTCGTCAAGGAGGTTAGACAATTGTGAATATTCTTAAATCACTAGCCTCCTATAAAATGAAAGAGAAGGAAAATCATCAAGGACTTGGAAAAGCAATAGTAAATACCACAAGCATCAAAGACGAGGAACAAACCTTAATTTCACCGCTTGCTAGAAAATTGCACCACATAATCTACAGAGTACAGTTTGCCTAAATATACTTTAATCCTGACATATACTGTTGTCTGGAGATTATATATTGGGCCAAGGAATAAATAATTCCTAAAATCCCCAATATTCTAACCTTAAGCACATCTGTCATGATGGCAGATGGCAGATTAAGGGGCACTGTTAGCAGTGGCGTTGAGTCTGTATGCTTTGTAAAGCTCCATACAAATCTGTTAAAAAGGATCTGACTCGGGAATGTAAGAACAAGGAGGGCTAAATTTTTAACAGCAAATATCCAATCTGGCCCACCAATGTCCACGCCCCATCCAGCGTTTCCATGCCAAACATCTTCCCCTATGTTGTACATTGCAGTGAGGACCAAGTACGCTGATATCACTACAGTAACAGGGAAATACCTTTGCTTGTCCCCAAATCCAGCAACAAAATCTGAGTCCTGGTTCAAAAGCAGTAAGATCGGAGCCAGAAAAAATATAGCATAGTTCGAACCACCTGTGAGATTGACATTCAAAATTAAGCATATAGCAAAACACATCACTGTAGCAACATTTCCAACTGCTGGCATCCATGCTCCTTCTGCTACCATTCGCTTGATGGTGAATGTTGACATCGAAGAAGCCCGTCGTTGTTGCATGAATCTTGTTCTTGTGTTAAGGCTGCCAATGC